CTATGATTCTATGATTCTATGATAAATAAAAGAGGTATAAAAATACTAGAGCAATATTTTTAAATGATTCACGTCAAAAATGATATTATAAATAACCAAAGATTTACCATAATGCAAGGTAGGATACTACTTCAAAAGGATATAAAGTGTCCAGTAAACCAGGAGTAGCAAAAAGCCTCCAGGGGATAATGTAAATTTGGCTAAAGACTTTTTCAGTTTACATACACAGCACCAGCAACATTCTGTTGAGTTGGTTCCTGGACACTGAAAGACACATTTATGTTGCTTTACAGCTCAGACTGTGGTTGACGACTTTTCCACCCTAGTCCTTTCTCCACATGCTTAGCTCTATGAAACAGGTCTCCTTTTAAACTAAAGCTTTCCCTGGCACGTGTGAAACAAAATGTTGCAAACAATGCATTTCTCAATCAAAAACAAGAAACAATGAAAAAACACAACAGAACTGAGAAAATGCCATGTGCAACACATTCCGAACAGTGTCTCATCTTTGCCCCCAGATCAGCTATTTTTCATTTGCTGCACATAGAGCTCTGGAAAGGAGGAAGTATCTAAGGAGTAATTCTGTCTGGTTTACAGAATGTAACTCAAAGACCTATTACATATGTAATCTGCTTCATCAGGTGATAAACGCAAAGCAATGGAAAACCTGCAGTTTAAAGATGAAAATGCTTTGAAAAATATATTAAGAGAAGAGCTTTTCATCTAGGACTCCCTTCACCTTTATTTTCCTCTTCTTTGTTCTTAGAGCCTCAAAACATAGAATATAGGAAGGAGCAATAGCTATCCCAATAAAACAGGAATTGCTCTTTATTTGCAGAGCCTGTTCCCTGAGTTTTTCATAAAAACTACTGTTACTGTTCTCAGAGAGCCCAAAGTAGCCTTCTGAATTCAAAGAAGAGTTCACCCTCTGTACAAGATAGACAAGAGATGTCCAGAATAGACAGAGGAGTGAATAAGGATTTAAGGTGCAAACCGTCATGTGTGTTAATCATTATAACCCAGCAATGACGAGATTGCAAGGACCCATGAAAGGCTAAGGTAGGGAGACTACTCCTACTGGGAGCTCTGAGCCTATTCCTAAGAATCCAAAAGGTTTACATACTATCACATCAGTTCTGACTGAAGCAATACAACTCTGTTTATGAGAAACTGAACATCTTTATGATTTTTTTTTTTTTAAAAAGCAACTTCTAATTGTTGCTTTACCCATCACTGGTCAGCACTGTCAAATACTATTAACTGTTTGATTAAAATTTTGCCCAGAATATCTCAGGCACTTACAAGTAGAAGTTATTATAAAAAACCAACTTCATATAACTGACTTGGAACAGTATGCAGGTGAAAGATATATTTAACTTTCTGTAAAGTGTTGCATTAGATTGACTGGATTTGTTAAGATGTCTTGCAACATGTTTATGTATAATGAACTGTTCTCACTTCTAAAGACCAAATAAAAAGCTAAAGCGTTTTTTTGCCTTCTCCACATCAACTTGCGAAAGAATTTGCAAAATAAAACTCCAGATCACAGATGTGTTTGTGCTATACAGGACATCTCACCCTTTCAATCATGTTTCTGGTCTTCTCTGTTCCCACAGGGACATCATGAACACGGTACTGGGAGCAAAGATAACTCATCACAGGATGAGGTGCATCAAATAACTCTCGTAAATATGAGAAAAATCCGTATCGGCTGAAGAGGAGAAAAAAAAAAGCATGCATCAGAAATAAAATTTGGCAGGTGAGGAAGCTGAAGTAACTGAAGGATCAGAAAGAAGTCCCATGAAACCAGAATCTAACTGGTGAAAATCTGATTTGCATAGAAAATTCTAATATACAGCAATACCACCAAAACACTGTATTTAAAACCATTCCCCACTGATAAAATCTGATACATACTGTAATTCTTCAATAGGTCTCGAAGGTAAATTTTCAGCACACGATTTAGCAGGTGCGCATACAGCATTCACTCTTAGTTTCTGATGATCGCGCATCTAAATATAGATTACATTAGATTACTTCGTAAAAAAGAGAAAAAAAATTCACTATATGAAAATCAAGTATTTATTCTTGATTCACAGAACCGGAATTATTTTAAACCGACAGCCACTGGAAGAACTCACAAAAATCCACTCTGGCTCAGGTAGGACTGAGTTCTCTAAAAGCCAAGTTCAGCTAATGTCTCTCTGAAAATACCACGCATTAGAGAAAACAAAAGCGATCAAAGAAATCCAGAGCCAGGTGTTCAACCTAAATGGTCAAGCTGAATGTAATAAGTAAGCCCCCTCTTTCAGGTTGTATGGCCGTTTGCACAGATAATGGCAGACCACTGACTACAGAGGCTCTGAAAAAACTCATCCTCACCGAGCAGAAAAGACTGAGGACACAAATGAAAGATCAGTTTAGTTGGCTGAAGCAGCCTTGCACTGGGTTCCACTGTCATGGAGGCAAGATAACCCCCACAGAACCTCAGGTATCATCACTACTGTTCTTGTATATAAAAATAACTACCTTCTGCAAAGGGCAGATAGGTTTTCAAAAACTGCAGGTCAGTTAACGCCACGTCTTGTGGTGTTTTTCTCCAGCATCACTTGTCTGGCGGAACAATCTCCTTATCGCTCCAGGAAACAGTAGTATTAAGAAAATGTAAGCCTGATTTGCTGCTGGTGAGACCATTGTCTTCTCACAAAATATGCCCTCTCGCCTCTTTAGTCAGGAGGCATTGGAAAAGCTTGATACTAAATTTGCAGCTTCCTGCTCTTGTCATTTTCTTGTACACAGCATTTTCTCCTCAGTGATTACTGCCTTGTCAAGGACGACAAAAGTTATTTCTAAAAAGAAATATCTTCTAAATATTCCTGCATGTCTCCAGTTGGTCTATGTTTTAAAAAAAATCTTACTCAATAAGAAAACCTTAATTCAGAAGAAAACCTTTGAATGCTTTGTATTAGCTATTGTGCTGATCTTGCCAATCCAAACTTTATAAATACAGATTTACTTGGTAAACTGCAAAGTTTAGGGCTCCTACATCAGTATTTAATCAATTTTTAAAATGGGTGCCTACTTGCCTCCACAAGAAACTTTTCCATGTCTTCTTGATTCTCAAAAACGAAAGCCTTCATGTCATTGGAGGAAATGTGATTTTCAACATATTTAGCATGTCTGTTGTCTTTCATACTGATCTGATAAAGAAAAGTAATGAGAAAGTGATTTAATACAGCTGGACTTAAACGCCTTCCCAAAAACATGTTAAGCAGTCGGAAGATATTGAAGCCTACATTTAACGAGAATAAAGGCATTTAAATGTTGTCTTTGAAGACATATTCCCTGTCTTTTTGCAACGAATTCTCTTGGGAGAGAAACCATAGTAACTCCCATGTCACTGTGTTTAGTTTTTAGCCATGCATATCCTTTCTCAGCATTCC